GAAGGAATTTCCACACTGGATATGCTGTAGTCTCTGCACAAGAGGTAATTAAAGATGAACCACTCGCCCCTCACTGCTCTGCACAGGAGGCTGAGCTGAAGGCACTCACTGAAGCATGCAAAACTGGCCTCTGGTAAGACAGCTAATATTTACACAGACTCTCGCTATGCCTTCAGTATAGCCCATGATTTTGGGCCTATATGGCGGGCTCGTGATTTTCTCACCTCATCAAGAACTCTGAAGCCGTGAGTGCACTTATGGACACTATCCTGCTACCTACTCAAGTAGGCATCATTAAGGTGGCAACTCACGTGAAAATCACAGATCAAATCACAAGAGGAAACCACAAAGCAGACGAAGCTGCCAAGCAAGCAGCAATCCAGCTTCATCCTTCTACAGGTAATACCTTCCTACAGGTTGTCCTTCCAGAAAAGACTGTTGACTACAATATATTGTTGAGCCTGCAGAAGCACGCAAGCAATGTAGAACAAGATCTCTGGAGGAATCAAGATGCAGAACCTGATGATGATGACAAGATGTGGAGAAAAGGTAAAAGACACGAGTATTGTACCCTATGATGGCTCATAGCCCATGGACCCACACATTTATCCAAGATGAACATGAACTATATAGTGAATACCCATTGTGTGGCACCTGGGTTTACTGTTGTAGCAGCTAAGCATACATGAGCTTGGACAGGCTGTCAAAACACCAGGTAAACATATCCCAAGGCAACTTTACCATTTCAGAGACTGCAGATAGACTATATTCAACTGCCTAAGGTAGGATTGTATGAATATGTGTTGGTGCGCATTGATCTCTTTTAAGGTTGGCCTGAGGCCTACCCAGTGTCGTAAGCCACAACAAAGGTCACATCAAGTAAGCTACTGAAGGAACTGGTATGTAGATACAGGGTACCCAAAGTGATTGAAAGTGACAGAGCTAGCTATTTCATTGGGGAAATACTGCAAGAAATAATGAAGGCACTAGGGATCAGTCAGGCCTTCCATACTCCTTACCACCCTCAGAGTAGTGGTAAAGTAGAAAGGGCAAATAGCACCCTAAAGAATAATATTGCAAAAGCCATGCAAGAGACAGGGAAGACTTGGACTTAATGCCTTCCCCTAGCACTCTTCTCTATCACCCCACAGCCAAGAAATGGCCTATCCCCTTTTGAGATTTTGTTTGGATGTGCCCCCAAGACAGAACTCTATTTCCCCCAGACACTCCAATTACAACATAGTAACATGGTCTCCTGTATCCAGACACTCCATAAGAAGTTAGGGCAGGTGCATAAACAAGTGTTTGATTCTATTCCAGATGCAGACTCCAGTTCTACCACTCATAAACTACAACCTGGAGATTGGGTAGTAATAAAAAGATAAGTGAGAAAAGGGCTTGAGCCAAGATTTGATGGTCCCTTCCAAGTGTTGCTAACCACAGCCACCTTGGTGAAACTAGAAGGAAAAGCCACGTGGATACATGTTAGTCACTGTAAACAAGTCACTCCGACTGATCCACTGACATGAAGCTGTTCATATCCTTTACCATTGTATGCTCTGTTCAGATATGCTACTCTGACTTGAGACCAGAAGATAATAATACACGGCAGGGAACTATATGGATGCAGATAGCAAAGGCTCTTAATCTAACCTCCTTTTGCCTCAACCCTCTCCTCAGTACTGAAAACGCCATACAATCTTGTCTTATAGCTGTCCCTACCCCCATCTCACTCTTGGAGAAGTACCTACATACCCATTGACCCCATAAAACTCTACAACTACATTCTTATGCTTTCAACCGACTGGTAGGCTGTCTGTTGGCAATGTGTAGTGCATGCTGAAAACAGACATAATTTATGAGTTCTGGGCTGCCAATGCCATGTGTGCTGGGGTTGCAACTAGGTCCTAGCACAAAATAAAAAATATCTCTGGATGTGCTGTGTTTCAAGCAAAAACACTGCACATACTGACCAATATCACCATGACCACTTCAAATCAGTTAAGTGGTCATGGTGGTTAGACTAACCCTTTAAAGGGACACTATAGGCACCCAGACCACTTTAGCTAATTGAAGTGGTCTGGATGCACTGTCCCTGTCCCCTTTAGTCCAGCCTTTTGTAGCTGTCTACCAGACAACCACTATATGCGCTTTCAGGAATTTACCTGACTCTACTTTGCTTAAATGATGCTCGGCATCTTCATTTTTTGCATGAGGACATCCAGCGTCAGTGAAATGCCCAAAGGAAAGCATTAAGTGCTTCCTATGAGGAGGCTCTAATTCGCTCACCACACATGGCCATTGAGACCCCATCGGTTGATTCAGAGGAGGTGGGGCACCGACCCAGTGTTGAGGGATATCAACACTGGAATCAGGTAAGTCATCAAACGGTTTTTAACCCTTTATGTTCAACAGAGGGGCGAGGGGGTGTGGGCACGAGGGATTGGGGGGACCAGAGGGCTCTATAGGGTTATAATACAAACTTGTATTTCTAACACTATAGATTCCCTTTAATATTGTTATAGGAATGTGATACAGCATGATGAAATGGCTCTATATTAGTTAACCTATAGACTGTAAGCTCATTTGAGAAGGGCCCTTTTCAACCTATTGTTCCTGTAAGTTTTTGTAATTGTCTCATTTATTGTTAAATCTCCCCCTTTGATAATATTGTAAAGCGCTACGGAATATGCTGGTGCTATATAAATACCAGTAATAATAATAATCAGAAATAGTCTGGCGCCATCTTCTGGTTGTAGGATGAATTATAAAATAATTAGTGCAGTAGTTGTCAGGATCCTATCCTGACATCCAAAATCAAGTTTCATTTCTTTTGTTTTATTTCTACAATTTCAGTTTTCCACCACTAGTGGCCTCCCTAACCACTAGTCTTAATCCACATCCTCTCTCTCACCTGCCTTGATTGAATGACTACATCTGACTATAAAGAGCCACACCCTGCTCAGAAGGGGGCAGGGTATGGCTCTTTATAGTCAGGTGTAGTTCTACCTGAAAGAACCTCTGATCCTGGCTCCAATAAACTTGCCTGAAACCAACCTGCTTTATACAAACCTGATCTACACTACCAACATGCTTTATATTACCAACCTGCTTTATACCAATCTGATCTATACTACTAACCTGCTTTGTGTTACCAACCTGAACTACATTGTCAACCTGCTTAAGGTCACCAACCTGCTTTATATCAACCTGATCTATGTGACTGACCAGTATTGCAAAGTGTAATTTACCTGAATTATTAGTATTCCTTCCGAAACAGGGGACTGATTCTCTAAACTTTTTAACTTGCAACTTGCTCATAAAAGCCAGCTTCCTCCTTCCATCCACAGTCCACAAGACGCTCCAGAAAGACTGGTGAGGCTCACAGGATGATGCCAGGGAGATTCGGATGCAAAAGCTCCCCGGGAGGTCTGCTGTGAGGTTACCTTTCCACTACATGTTACAGAACGTAAGTGGTTAGGTTTTTTTTATGCCGGCAGCAGGAAGTAGGAGGTCCCGGGCACCCTCCAATCTAGAGACCGGCCAAGCGCCTGCGCACAGCAGTGGAATGCACGCCCGGGTGGCCTTGTGTTCCACTGAAGTTCTGATCGCACATGTGCGCATTGGAATTTTTTTTTTTTTTTTAAATAATAATTTTGCAGCAAAATTCAAAAAAATCTGAGTATAAATCTGTGGAGAACCCTACTGACAACAGGAGTGGTCTCCAGTATCGGTTCACCATGTCACCAGCCCTCCCACACAGAAGTGAGTTTTTTTGAGGTGAGATTAATAGTCTCTACTTTAGAAAGCCTCACTTTAATTATACTTTTAGTAATAACTGTCTTATATTGCAGATATGTCCAATCCTGCATTCCTGGACAAGGAGGAAATGTCAACTCCAGCTCCCAGGAAGGCTATACGCAAAGCAAAACACCTCTGCTACTTGGAATGTGCTGTACCGCTTCCAGGCGGATGCAGTAAAAACACATGTTCTGCAGAAATCTTAGAAAAATCTAAACAAAAAAAAACATAAATGCACTCCTTTTTAAGCTGGTTTCAGAAAAACCTGCCTCAAACATTCAAATCCTTTAAAGATTCGCTAAAATATGACAGCTGGGCTGTTAAGACACTAGAGAAGGAAGATAAAAAAACACAAATGTAGGAAGTCATCTTCTCAATCAGACCTGTCTTTAGGCGAATGTTCAAGTTCTTCCAAATCGGAAGTTTCCAGCCTAGACTACAGCTTGGATGAAAGCTTCCCACCAGAGGGACTTTAAAATTGGTCAAAGAAGTTGCTGCCTTGTTTCAGGAAATAGAGCCTACTAAAAGTAAGGTCAGAGGTTTCCCTACAAATCCCAGAATCCTGGAGTTGCTCCAGAGGGAGTGAAAAAATCCTGAAAGATGTGCTTTCATTTCTAAACACTTTAAACAGATATTTAAGTTACAGAACGAAGAGAGATGGCAAGATCTACTGAAAGTAGACATCCAAGTTGCCCAGCTCTCCAAGAAAACCACCATTCCTAAAGGTTAAGTTTCTGGCTTAAAGGAGTCTATAGATGGGATAGACTACACCACTTCTACATGGGAGACCAAATAACCCCGTACAACGACATCCCCAGCCCACAAACAGCATACACCACCCACGACCTCTTCAGGTACCTACAATTGCGAAGCTTCCTAGAGCAGGCGGAAAGCAAAAAAAGCGGCCACCACCAAACTTTCACAGTTCGAGAGAGTCTGCACACACAGCCCACTTCGCAAAGGCCAGATCACAGAAAACTATGCACTCCTAATCACAAACCAGCCCTCCGGGGCACTGGCCTACGTGTTGGCTTGGGAGAGGGACCTGGGGCCCCCAGATGAACCCACTGATTGGCAAGAAATATGGGAAGCAATGGCCTCCATATCCATTTATGTCAACCATAAAGAGCATTGCTCAGATGGTACCTAACACCAGTACACATATACCGCATGGGCAGATCAGACTCAACCCTATGCTGGAAACAGTGTGGACAAAGGGGCACATACATACACCTATGGTGGCACTGCCCCAAACTGACCCCACTGTGGATAAAGGTGGCCTCACAAGTCTCAGAGCTCCTACAAACCACCATCCCACTAGATCCATGGATGTGGCTCCTCTCCAGGCCACATGAGGACCTGTCCAGAGCCCAAAACAAAATGATGCACAGGATAGCCCTGGCGACGAGACGTGCGGTGGCAGAACTCTGGGGGACACCCAACGTCCCCACACTACAAACAATCATACGCAAAACCAGGGAGGCAATAGACATGGACAGGATCTCGGCCAAATTGCATGAAACCTCTAAACAATTTCACAAAATTTGGGACCCATGGCTCAACGAACCCCACTTACAATGACCGGGCCACACTCAACAACCACACAAATGGCACCGTTCCATCCTCCACCCACCCACCCCAGGTACTTAGTTAACCCAACCAGAGAGGAGGGGGAAGCACCTTGAACCACCACGCAAATGCACCACCACCCAGAGAGTTACTCACCCCCTGGCGACAACAACAGTAGAAGGGACTCCCACCCAACAAACGAAACTAGCCCACGGATGCAGCCCATAAAGTAATCCGGAAGGAGAGACACCACACGAAAATAACGGGAGTTATCCCCAACCATTCAACCAACAGTCCCACACACCAGGGCCATACCTGCCCTCCTAAACAACCACTTCCATTCTAACTCTATACCGGTGTCTGAGAACAACCAAATGACCCCGACCTGGGACAATGGGTACATCTTAGATACCCCAAACCAACCCCCACCATGGTATATCATCACCTGTAATTATGTTCTTATTTCCCCCAGTTGACTTTTCTCCCCCACTTGAACTCACAGTCCTGCCGCCCCTCCACCCACTCTTAACAGGCGCAAAGAAAACCTCCAACCGTCTAGAAAAAGGCAACTGTTGAGTCATAGACCTGTCAAACACCCCACACCCAATTACACCCTAGGCACCTAAACCAAGGCTGAGACAGAGAGCTGAGGAGATCCACGATAAAGGCGGAAAACGTTGACCCAAATCTCATTACGACACACACCAAATCTCACAATAAGTACTTAGTCTGTAGATCCAATATGCAACGATGGCTTCTGTGTAAGCACCATATACAACAACTCGAAGATTTACTGTCTAAGACATAACCGCTGAATGTTCGAATCAGAACCACTGTGCTATACCCCACCCTTTCTTTCCTGTACCCCATTTACTTTGACAAACTTTAATAAATAAAAAATGTTTAAAAAAAAAAAAAAGGAGTCTATGGATAAACGTGCGGAAACATCATGCAGAAGGGCATATCAAGCTGCAGGTTATCAATGCAAAGCAGCTATTTTAGGGGCAGCAGTAATGAAAGAATAAGGTGCTTGGCTTTTGTCCATGGAGGATATGGTTTCAGAAAAAGCCGATAAAGATCTTTCGTATTTATTTAACCTTAAGATATGACCGAAGAAGTTCTCACGCTGTCCGTACAAATTATGTTGTGTCTATCATCAGTGACCAGAAGGGCCCTCTGGCTCAGGACATGGACGGCAAACATAACATCAAAGACGACCCTGTGAGAACTGCCTTTTGAGAAGAACAAACTTTTCGGATCTACACTGGAAGACATTATAAAACAAATGATACCAAGCAGGCCCTTCCAAAAGAATATAGGTCCACAGCGATAAATAGGAGATTTCAATATACAGGGAGTGCAGAATTATTAGGCAAATGAGTATTTTGACCACATCATCCTCTTTATGCATGTTGTCTTACTCCAAGTTGTATAGGCTCGAAAGCCTACTACCAATTAAGCATATTAGGTGATGTGCATCTCTGTAATGAGAAGGGGTGTGGTCTAATGACATCAACACCCTATATCAGGTGTGCATAATTATTAGGCAACTTCCTTTCCTTTGGCAAAATGGGTCAAAAGAAGGACTTGACAGGCTCAGAAAAGTCAAAAATAGTGAGATATCTTGCAGAGGGATGCAGCACTCTTAAAATTGCAAAGCTTCTGAAGCGTGATCATCGAACAATCAAGCGTTTCATTCAAAATAGTCAACAGGGTCGCAAGAAGCGTGTGGAAAAACCAAGGCGCAAAATAACTGCCCATGAACTGAGAAAAGTCAAGCGTGCAGCTGCCACGATGCCACTTGCCACCAGTTTGGCCATATTTCAGAGCTGCAACATCACTGGAGTGCCCAAAAGCACAAGGTGTGCAATACTCAGAGACATGGCCAAGGTAAGAAAGGCTGAAAGACGACCACCACTGAACAAGACACACAAGCTGAAACGTCAAGACTGGGCCAAGAAATATCTCAAGACTGATTTTTCTAAGATTTTATGGACTAATGAAATGAGAGTGAGTCTTGATGGGCCAGATGGATGGGCCCGTGGCTGGATTGGTAAAGGGCAGAGAGCTCCAGTCCGACTCAGACGCCAGCAAGGTGGAGGTGGAGTACTGGTTTGGGCTGGTATCATCAAAGATGAGCTTGTGGGGCCTTTTCGGGTTGAGGATGGAGTCAAGCTCAACTCCCAGTCCTACTGCCAGTTCCTGGAAGACACCTTCTTCAAGCAGTGGTACAGGAAGAAGTCTGCATCCTTCAAGAAAAACATGATTTTCATGCAGGACAATGCTCCATCACACGCGTCCAAGTACTCCACAGCGTGGCTGGCAAGAAAGGGTATAAAAGAAGAAAATCTAATGACATGGCCTCCTTGTTCACCTGATCTGAACCCCATTGAGAACCTGTGGTCCATCATCAAATGTGAGATTTACAAGGAGGGAAAACAGTACACCTCTCTGAACAGTGTCTGGGAGGCTGTGGTTGCTGCTGCACGCAATGTTGATGGTGAACAGATCAAAACACTGACAGAATCCATGGATGGCAGGCTTTTGAGTGTCCTTGCAAAGAAAGGTGGCTATATTGGTCACTGATTTGTTTTTGTTTTGTTTTTGAATGTCAGAAATGTATATTTGTGAATGTTGAGATGTTATATTGGTTTCACTGGTAATAATAAATAATTGAAATGGGTATATATTTGTTTTTTGTTAAGTTGCCTAATAATTATGCACAGTAATAGTCACCTGCACACACAGATATCCCCCTAACATAGCTAAAACTAAAAACAAACTAAAAACTACTTCCAAAAATATTCAGCTTTGATATTAATGAGTTTTTTGGGTTCATTGAGAACATGGTTGTTGTTCAATAATAAAATTAATCCTCAAAAATACAACTTACCTAATAATTCTGCACTCCCTGTAGAAGTCAATGATCCTTTCAGTTTCAGGACAAATCCAGAAGGTTTCTGTCACGTATTCATCCGCTTATAGAAATGTGGTTAATGACATTTACTGTCCACACAGGAAAAGTTGTGCCGAGCAACAACCTAATCCACAGAAGGGTTAATGCTGAGCAGCAATTATGCAAATGAAATCTGGTATCACATATTCATCCGCTTATAGAAATGTGGTTAATGACATTTACTGTCCACACAGGAAAAGTTGTGTCGAGCAGCAAACTAATCCACAGAAGGGATAATGCTGAGCAGCAATTATGCAAATGAAACCTGGTAACTGACTTTGGGGTCAAAGGCCGGTTACAGCCTATCTGTCATGTATTCATCCGCTTACAAAAATGTGGTTAATGACATTTACTGTCCACACAGGAAAAGTTTTTGACTTCCCTGTTTTCTGGCATCCCTGACTCCTGGCTTTTCCTTATCGTTGTGTCTCTTTCTGTTTCCCTTGACCTCGGCTATTCCTGACTATTCTTTGGTACGTTAGTCCGGCCATTCTAAGGTCCGGTATACGTTACCTATCAGTCCTCTGTGTTACACAGTTCTACATGCTGGATTATTCTGTAATCCTGATATTACGACATGGCCATAGATCCTGTAGAATTGTGTAAGCACATAGCTGCCTGCGAAAGGAAACTGGAGGATAATGATCACCGCTTGGATCAATTTGCCCAGGCTTTCAGTACGCTTCTTACTCGTACAGCACATCTGCAACCTGTGGCTGCTCCTACTGTGTCACCTCTGCCTTGTGTACCTCCGCCTATAGTATACAAGGTACCAACTATCTCTCTATCTCCTCCTCTGCATTTTGATGGTAATTTCCAAGAATTCCGGGGATTCCTTAACCAAATAGAGTATCATTTTGAGGCCTCACCGGGATCTTTTCCCACAGACAGAGCTAAAATTGGTTACATGATGAATCAATTAAAAGGTAAAGCTTTAGCTTGGGCCAATCCATTATGGGAGACTAATAGGAGTGTGGCACACAATTACTAGGAGTATGTCCCATACGTCCGGAAAACTACCGCACCTTAAGGGGACAGGTCTTAGGTGTAATGGAAACATCCTCTGGAATGGATAAAAATAGGTTTCTCCTTGATATTACTATTGCCTTTGAAAATAAGAACTTTTCATGCAAAGCCCTGATGGATTCAGGTGCCGCTGGAAACTTCATTGACGTTCAATTTGTTAAAGGTAATACTAAACCTATCAAGGAGAGACTATCACCCCTAGCTGTTGAAGCTATTGATGGGAGACCACTCTCACAACCGTTGATTAAACAAGAAACCTTACCCATTAATGTGTCCATTGGTGCCTTACATAAGGAAGAGATTACATTTCAGGTTATTGCATCCCCTTCCTGTCCGATCATATTAGGCTTTCCATGGCTTAACAAGCATAACCCTCATATTGACTGGGCTAATGGGGAAATATTAGAATGGGGTAAGGATTGTTATGAAAGGTGTATATTGAATCTTGTCAAAAGAGTGGGCACTATTGGATTACCCACTAGTACACCGCAAAACCCGGAAATCCCTATACAGTACCAAGACATAAAAGAAGTATTTAGCAAAACTCAGTCGAATACTCTACCTCCTCACAGACCTTATGACTGTTCTATTAACTTACTACCTGGCGCTATGCCACCTAAGGGAGCAGTCTATGCTCTGTCACCTCAGGAGAGTAGCGTAATGGAGGAATATATTAAGGATTCATTGAATAAAGGCCACATATGAAAATCATCTTCGCCTGCTGGGGCAGGATTCTTTTTTGTATCTAAAAAGGACGGTGAGTTGCGCCCAAGTATAGATTACAGGTCATTGAACAAAATCACCATTAAGAATGCCTACCCCATTCCTCTTATTGCTGAATTATTTGATAGACTCCAAGGTGCTAAAGTATTTACTAAGCTTGATCTTAGAAGTGCTTACAATTTAGTGAGAATCAAGGAAAACCACGA